ATTTGTTCAGCAAACTAACTTTAAATAAAAAATGTTCTAATGTTTAATCACAACCATGTCTTGATTTTGATTTCAGAAGAGACAAATACAAAGAATTACAATTATTTATTACTAGTGAAAATAAATGTGCTACACACATGTGTATCAACTTATTTTATTATAGTGAAATTTTTATCAAACTATAAAATGGCTTTTAATTATTGAAATAAAAATATTAATAAACTATAAAATATTTGCTATAAAAAATATAACTGTAAAAATAAATAAGTTTATAATTTTATTATCAATAATTTTTTTATTATGTATAATTATTTGAATTGAAAAAAATAATTATTAAAAAGAGTAAAAGTGAAAACTCTTTTTTTAATAATTATTTAAATTTTAAAAAATACAATTGAAAAATATTGTGTACACAAGAAAATAATCCATTAATGGTATAGAAGTATATATATTACATACTAACTTAATCACAGATTATTGTTGATGTAATTTATAAGGGTATAGTTATTGTAAATTCAATAGTTTGTTATATTCATCATAGCATAAATACAAAATTACCTTATAATGTGAATGCATAAACCTATTTTCTTGCATATACAACTCTCAACACTGCCCAGCCTTTGCTATAAACAAAATGATAATATCAACTAAGAATTATTGTAAACTAAAATAAGAAAAAATATAATTTGTATACATAGATGAATCTTTATTTTCAAGGACGGTGATATGTTATCAATTTATTTTAATAATTTTTTGACAATAAATTACGTGTTACTATTTTATTGCTCTGTATATTTAAAATGGATCAATCATAAACTATCACATAAATTGTTGTAAAAGTATTGTCAAAAAATTATTAAAAAAATATTTTTTATTTTTGAATTAGAATAGAAAATAGTGAGTAGCGAAATGAGTAAATGAGGAAGCAGATGGTGTTGTTGTGAAGCCATTTTGATTAATGAATTTGGTGCCACTTGTTATGAGTGAAGCCATTTTTGTCAAAACTCATCCTCCAATATACTTGTCAACCAACAACTTTTGGGTCAATTGTCAACACAGTCCCACAAAAACTACATAAATTAACAACTTAAATCTATTCTCTCTCATCTCTTCTTTTCTCTTTCGTCCACATTCTTTAATTTGTTGACCAAACAATTCCTTCTAACTCTACTCCTTTTAACACTTTTCACTGTTCATTTTGCCAACCTACCATGCAACCATGTGTCTTCCAACACCTCAAATATTCATAACACCTAAAATGTAATAGTAGTATTTAATTCAGTAAATCAATTTAACATTAAATATGTTTTTATAGTTTTTAAACTTTCATACGAAATTAAAATTTGTTTTTATTTTAAATTTTAATACAATTTAGTCTCTAAACTTTATAAAATAAATAAATTTAGTCTTTCTGATTCAATTGTATTAAATATTTTTAACTTATTAAACGTGATCTGCTTATACCGTTGGATAAATTTAAACTAAAATACCAATCTAAAACACACTTTGACATATAAAAAAATTAACATAATTAAAAAAATTATATTTATTTATTTTTAAAATTTAAGAAAAATATATATTAAAATTTGATAGGAAAACGAATTTCACTTTTCAATTCAAATTTAAAGGCCACATACATATTTAATTCATTAATATATATATATATAAAAGGTTTGAAAATAACAGTAAATGTAATTTGTTTTTCAAATGAATAAAAAAAAGTGTGACAATTCATTTCTTTAAATTTCATGAAAGTCATATACTTGATGGAGGCAATGAATTCTCCAAAGCAAAAGATAGTGAAAATTTCAAAGAAGGAATTGAATTCCATTACTTTTGTTATGTAGTTTTTTTAGGGTTCTTGATATTGTAGCAGTCACCAAACCATATCTGAGAAGAATAGTCGGTCCATGATACTTGTAAGACAAGTCGGTGACTTGGTCTTTTATTATTTGTGAGTTTGGCACCTTCACAAGAAAAAAACAAAAAAACTTAGCAAAATTTTCTATGAAGGAGGAAGCAAGCCACGAAGGTGCTCGAGATGGATATCTCTATAAACACACATGTTTGACTTCTTTGGTCTGATCTGTGATTCACAGCTACAAATAAGGATCTGTATCACTCAACACACTCAGATACCATCCAATACACTACAAACACGTATTCTGTAACATCTTCTACTTTTTCCCCATCTGTTTCAGAGTGTAGTTGACAAGTGTTCATTCAAGGTCAACCCTATTTGTCAGAACTTACTGAACAAGGTTTTGAAACTTTCACATTGTCATTGGCATGTGTAAGTCAACATCTGATGCTAGCTACTTGCTATTTGTTCGTATTAATTAAGCTAATTAATATGCAGATTGCAGATTGCAACAGTACTATATATTACAAGTGTGTATTTGTGTGTGTTTGGTTTTATGTATGGAATTTCTGTGTGTGTGTGTGGGAGAGGAACAGAACATATGCATGTGACACAAAAGGGTATAGTAAGAGCAAGATAATTAATGATTGCTTAAGCAGATTATATATCCACGTAATCCATATACTTAAAATTTTAATTAATTAGAGTTAACGTCAGAACACGATGAGGAGATTTAATTATGCAGCACACCATGCATGCGTGGTGAGGCGAAAAATATGAAATTAAGGAGCAGGTTATATGATTTAGCAAACACCTACAGCTAAATCAAGCAGAAACATGTCACTATGTCAGTGGTTGGATTAAATAAATGTTGAACCAATTATATGTTCCTCAATATATAATTCTCCAATGATTTGTGTATTTCTAACCATAATTAACCACTGCCTCAAGCAAATCCCCAGTTACATATATGTGTATACTGCTTGCTGTATATATTTGTTCACCAAATTAAAATGGAAAAAAAAATCTGATTATAATATATTTTGTATATAATATATATATATTAAAAGTGTTACATCGATTACATATTAGATTAATTTATAGTATAAATAAATACAAATCTCATCTTACAGATTTATTTTGTAGAGTTGAGTTAAACTCAAAATCTATTTCTTAACATAGTATTTTAGCTAGATTATAGTCTATTTTAGCGAAATTTGGTAATTACATTAATACTGCCGGCAGCATGTGTTCCATGGGTTTGCTTGTGGTAATGAGGTATTTGAAAGCAAAGAACGATGAAATTTGACCAAAGTAGAAGATTAGTTTAATCCTAGATCTGGGAAAAGGTTGTTGGAAAATGAGAAGGTGGTAGTCTAGGAAGTGATTTCCACCTCAAAGGTATAGGCAAAGGGTAACAGAGTGAGAATTGATGAGAAGAGAAGATAGGGTCAACTATGAATAAAAGAACACCACCAAAAGAACAAGCTGTCATGCATATATGATTCATGCACAATCCACCTACCAATTGTACCATCCCCAATTTGGTATCAGATAACACTACCCATTACATTAATTAAGCTTTCATCATTGCATGGGCTGGATCAACATATACACCTTCATTATACAATCACTCCATAAAGTTAGTTGTTTCAATCAAAATTAATATTTTCCCTCTCCATCGATCATAAATATTGTAGGTGGCATTAATTGTTCTATGAAAAAAAAACATGTAAGTGGATCCAACCATGAGTTATAACTTTTGTCTTAGTACTAAACACTTCATGGAACACCAAAATGCTTGTTTTTGTCCCTTTTCTATTACTGTTACCTTTTCACTGTTTTATACTTTTTTTAAGATAAACATAGTTATGTTTATATCTCTGTTACTGAATACAGAAAGTATTCTTTGAAAATGATAAAGTAGCTGTTGAAAATGAACGTGTTGAATAAATCAAACAACATAAATCTTGAAAGAAGAGAAGAAAAAGTAGCAAAAAGGCTAAGAATGTGAACGGTTTATCTCATAGAACATGTAATACAGTCTACTTGTTTTGAAAGTAAATAAAGAAAGAATAGTCTGTTTTCATTTATTTTGGTTGTGACTATCGTATTTGATCATAAATGAACCATTACTGCAGAGGAATCCTAAAGCAGAAAAACATTAAATATGAAGTGTGAATACTAGCAAAGCAAGCTGCAAAAAGTACAAGGCAAGCATATGGTACTACGGAAAATCAAATCTGTCAATTATTTTCTTTTTAAGGTCCCTTTGGAACGTGGATGGATGGAGCACATGCGAATTTTCTACTCGACACACTGTTGAAAACCTGTTTCTGAAATTTTCAGCGTCAACATGTTCGATCTCAGAACAGCTGGCTACTGTAAATCCTTCACTGTCGTATTCGGCCCATAACGTTGTGCTGTGTGATAAACAAAACATGGAGAGCGTATGAAATGAAACCGGTTGGATCGATGCAAGTTCAATTTCGATAAAATTAACGTAATTGAACACATTTTTTATTTATTTCACATGATAATAAATTCGATTAATACTTAGCAGTGCAATTTATTGCTTTTTAAAATTGAATTAGCGATGGAAAACTTCAAATCAAATGTGTAAACATGAACTTAATATCAAAGGGTGTTAACTCCCGAAAAGTCAAGATAAAAGCATCAGAAGAAATTAGTTAAAGACAATTCATAAATCGAGTAACATGACGAGTGATGGTTTACCAACCACATTATTCAAGTCTTATGATAATGATACAGAGGTTCAATCCTCTCAATATTTTTTCTTATTATTATCCAAGTATTTGTACCTTCTAACTAACCTCTATATCAAGCCACATACGTAGCTAATGGACAGGAAGTAGAAGTTAGGTTCCTAATCTACAATTTTCTAGTTGCAACCAAGTCCAATATCTGTATGTTGAAGTTTGAAAAATCATTTTTTAACGTGTTTAGATAAACCTTTTCGACATTAATAACAAAATCTTTTTTTCCAAGCTAGAATTAACGTATATATAAACTAATTTATGGAAGATGTCTTAATAACTTTTCAACAAAAAATAATTTGACCTGATTATGTCAAATTTCCTTACCTACTCCATGGTTAATAGCGCGTCTCAGATTACATTAAAAACATTTTCCATGGGGTGGGAAAAGGTACATGCATGCTACTCTAACAGATGATGCCCCTTTCATCAAAGTCCATATAGTATACACAATGTAGCAACCTTTAATACGTTTTAAATGTTATCCCACCAGTTTTGAGTTTGCACATTTCAGAGACAATATCCAAATTAAAGCAAATCAAAGACTGAAAATTTCATACATACATATATATGGAATGTTACAAAATTCAGGCAATTTTCAATCACTAAATTGTACACATGTATTGCAACCTAAAGAGAAAAAGGGAATCCTATCAAACTGGTAAGTTTTGCACTCTCAAGTGCTTATACTTCTGTTCTTTGTTGAATCTTTTTGCACTCTCTGCAAAACCTTTAGATAAAAGGAGCTTCAAGGCATCAACTCCCTCTTGCAAAGCCTCGTCAATCTGTTCAACGAGAAAAGCCAGATACATTGAGATGAAGATTTTTGTAACTAGGCCAGTTTTAATACGGTGCATGTACTACGATGTGAAAAATATGCAAAAGCAATTTCCACAAGAAAACTGCTTTAGTATAAAAATGGGGTAATGTCACCCAGGGTAGTGCTCTACTGCCTCCACATATCACATGGTTGTAACAACTATGGCTCTTATAAAAAGTTTGGCCTAAAACTTTCAGGATCAGTACACTCATTTTTATAAAGCCACCCAATGGAAACTATTAGCACGTTTTTGTGACATTGCGCTAACGTGGCAAGCGACTGAACTGCTATCGTATTTGAAATTTGTCACACCCCGCAGTGCAACAAGGCTATCACCTCTTGGAATCACATTACAATATCAAATCATTATTTACCCGTTCTATTTGAACTCCATTGACATTGATAATTGGATTCAAGTTACGTACTTCGTAGAAAACATGAGGAGCACCATTGCAATTTGAACCATGAGAACTGTTGAATATAGTGAAAAACTATATTTAGATTAATCTCCCTTGTATAAAATAAAAACATAGGGTTCTCTATTTATAATAGAAGAAATATGGGCTAAGCCCAAAATACAAATGAGAAATAATAACAAACTAACTAAAAGATAAGAGATATAATATATCTAACAAGAACCAAAAGTGCATTTAGCAGTTAACGAAGAACTTACTCGTTGTCTAGCTGTTAAATTAAACTTTTGAAGCAAAAATGCTTTAGGATCCATTTGCCCAGGAGGACTTCCAATCCCTATCGACAAAGCAAATTGAAAATAAAAAAGACAGCCATAAACTGAACTAGGGAAACAATAAAGGATTTACAAGAAAAGCACCAACCTATTCTCAGCCTAGGAAATTCTCTATTTCCTCTGAAGTGATAGATCACACTCTTTAGCCTGTGGTAAGAAGTGAGGAGAAGTACGGTGAGTAGCTTTACTTGAGTCAAGAAGCACTCAATAAGAAAAAATCAGAGCTGAAAAGATTTCATGAACTCAATTTCCATCACCACTCATCCTTTAAACAATATAAACACATTCTTTAATCCAGCTTCACTAAAACTATTTTCCTTTTTACCAAAATCCATGAAGCGTTACAGATATGACAACATATGGCCCCTTGACAAGTGAAAATGTAATTAACAATGGTGAAGAAAAACTATGTGATTAGGTTTCTATACAAAGTACTAATAGACTATTCGTTTACGGAAAGTTAGTGAGATACTATTTGTTAGGTTACTTTATACAAGTAACCTAAATCTATCCTCTCTTCTCACTCAAATACTCAAACAACACAAATGAAAGTATGTATGTATGTATTATTGATTCTGCAAAGTGAAAGAAAATACAAGTATAATCTTCCCCAAAGAGGCCTATCCTCCTCCACTGGCAAATATGGCCAGTCTATACCCAAAATGAAAATATCTGATCCCCCTCTTCCCCTATTCTGAAATTATTTATGCTCTCTCTCTCTACGAACAACTAACAAACTTCCCCGCTATTGAGTCGTTCGGTCATTAGCTCCCTCCTCCAATGCAACACCGTTCCGTGTTAACACATTACCATTCGGATATTACATCAACATTACCGATCGGCCCTCCTCTTCTATTCCTCCTTTCATATCCACCGTTCGGTATCAATGTATATACCGTGTAGTCCTTACTCCTCTTATATACTTTTAGCTTCCTAATGCTATTTTAGAGCGGATAGAAGTTTCTTCGAGTAGCAAAGTTCTTGATATAAAATATTTTCTCACTGATATGCATTTTCCAACCATTTAAATTCCAAATAACCACAACTGGTGTCGAGGATAAATCCTCCTGGGTGCATTGAAGCTTGGATATTAAAACACAAATCAAGAATAGAATTGAAACAATCTAACCTTGCAGTGATTAATTTTTAAAATACTTTAAATGGACAAAGAAGACACTTCCATAGTTTCAATAACCAATTGGATAGCAACAATAAAGGTCATGACAAATTTCCAGATGAACTGGAACACAACTTTGAGAATTTAGGTACGGGCACAAAACTTACAGCAGGCTTGTGTGAAGAAGGAATGAGGGACCAAAATGCAAAGCTGTAAATACAACTAATAACCATAACTGTTAGAACCAAAATTTTCTAGTGTCAACTGCTATCCCAACATCCAAACTTACGCAGTAAATAAGTAATGTTCATGATTGATAAAACAAAGGACAAGGGAAAATATATTTGAAATACTGAGGTAATGATTTGGAATTCATGTCACATTTCAGCTAGAATACAATGTTATATACACATTTTTACCGAATCAATTTACGGCTCATACTATTCTAGAATCTACTCTGGTTTATAACAGAAAAAGGGCTTATATACAAAGATATTAAAGAGAATTATAATGGGCTGAGGACAATCGGGCTGTATGGTTTGGGCTATTGTTCTGTTAGCCTTACTCAAGCTGGGAGGTGTATAAAGGTCAATCAACTCCAGCTTGGATACATTAGACTTGAAGAGACGAGGTGGTAATGCCTTAGTGAGCATGTCAGCAAGCTAATGTGAAGATGGAACTGGTAGCAAATGCATTAGACCTGCTTAAGCCTTTTCTCAAACAAAATGATAGTCAATCTCCAAGTGTTTTGTTTTTTCATGAAACACTGGATTTGATGCAATGTACATAACAATTAGGCTGTCACAATATAATGTTGCAGGCTTGGAACAACACATTTTAAATCATTGAGAAGATATGTGAGCCACTATAGTTCATACATGCTTGTAGCAAGAGCATGATATTCCACTTCCAAAGACGATTGAGATACTGTATTTTGCTTTTTTGTTTTCAATGACACGAGAGTTCTCAAAGAAGAAATAATAACTTGGGATTGATATGCACATGTCAACACAAGTCGCCCAATCTGCTATCACTAAATCCAACTAAATGTATGGGAGTATCCCTCAAGACTCTCTTGGTAGCAACTAGATGAGACTTTGTGGGATGAGTCATAAATTGGCTGAGTTGTGTTGCAAAACCAATGTCAGAATGTGTTGTGGTGAGGTAAATAAGACAACCAACAAGACGCATGTAGGACAAAGGATCATCAAGAAGATCACTAGAATCATCTTGACGCAGCCACAATGAATTGTCCATGGGCCTTGGACAAGGTTTACCACCCATCACTCCAAAATCAGTAAGTAACTCGAGACAGTATGCCATTGATAGACCGATTTACCATCATTCAACCCTCTTTTGTGTCCTCTCACGTCTTCACACTCCAAAATCTATTGTCCTCTCATGTCTTCAACACCTCCCTCTAGTCCAAAGAAGAGGATCCATCGCTCAACCCTCTTTTGTGTTAAGGTTATGGGTCCACACCTCACCAGAAGAAAAGACAATTCACACACAAAGGAGAAGACACACAAGCTATACAAGCTTCTTGCAACCGCCAACACTTGTCGTTGACGGTCGCGAGCCTTAGAGGAACTATTCTTCTCCATTTTTTCTCCTGCATCTTGCTTTTTCTCCTCACCATTCACATTTCTTTAGTCCATATTTGAAGAAAAAATGGATGATTTAGAGGTTCCTCCCATTGTTGATAATGATGAAGGTCATGGAGGAGAGGACATTAATGAAAATGAAGATCATGTGGAGGAGAACCATGATTATCCTGCTTTTGATATGAAAGATTTCTTTGGATAGTTTGTGTTAAACATTGAACAACTTATTAGTTGTTTTATGCTTGTTCAGACTTATGAACCTATTTTAATTGTTATGAACCTATTTTAATTGTTATGAACCTATTTTATGAATTATGTATGAGTTATTTTAATTGTTATGAACCCATTAAATGATGCACATATTTTTGAAAATAAATTTTGTATGTACTCGTAACTCTTACAAGTCAAGTTAGGATCCTCGAGTTACAAGTTGTCATTCCCTTTCCTATCCCTTTACGATCCTTGACTTTGACAACATTGAGTAGGTGAACTTGATTGTGGAGATGGTGAGGGTGGCTGTGGAGATGTTAAGGGAGATGATGCAGAACAAAAAAATGGAAAACTTGGATAACAAGTTAATGTTGTTGAGAAATAAATGGACTTAGAAGAGAACAAGGAATGCAAAATGATTGATTAGGCAACAATTAAATTGGGCAACGTTCAAAACACATTATTATCAACATGTTACAGCAGTACAAGCACAAGATATCTTTGATTGTGAAAAACTAAACAAAGTTGCATGAAAGAATAAATGAAACGGATGAACCATTAGAACTATAATATGTATGATATAGGCCCATTATGCAAGAATGTGAAGGGTAAGGAAGTGAATGAAAGGAACATGGACCTGAGAATCAAGGCCTGGGGGCAGATGAGAGGAAAAGAAAAAACATGACATGAGAGAGACTGTGAGCAGAAGAGAGAGGAATAACAAATTGGACAGGTGGCATGTAGGATAGAATGCGGGAAGCCAGAAATCAAACATGGAGAGAGAATGATTGTTTAGTTTGACGTGAAAACAGATAAAGGGATGAGGAAATGAGAAAATTTATGAAGCATCGTGTTGGGTTGTTAGTCTGAGCAGAGGAACTTGTCATTTCACAGTCACTGGGTGTTAACATTTTTATTTTGCTCTAATTCCTATTTAGCATCTTCTAAGGACTTCACTACATTCATGTCATTTGTTTACTATAACAGAGGATTCCTCCTCAGGTTGCAAGGGAATCCTTCAATATATATGTATCAGTTTTTTCTCTCTTTCAATCTATATCCTATCAATGTCTGATTGAGGGGGGAAAGTTTATTGGTAATGGGTTATTTGCCCCTCAAATCACAAACCAAGATGCAACCTAATCATGAATCTTAAGATATCCACATTGTTTTATGAAATTTCACGGCCATTCACAGTAATGTTGATGTACCACAATGTTATGTAATTTGGCTTACTCCATCTATTTTTTCATTATAACAAAACGTAGAACCTACTTCCAAAGTGATGTGAATTTGATTATGTTTCCAATAACATATACATGTTAATTTCAACATAGATAACTATTGGGTTCGGAAATTAGTGAATTACATAATCTAGTGATGCATAATAAACACCACAATATCTCTAGGGCAGTAGGTACTTGGATTAGTAACCAATTTCTTATGGTCAATGTCAAAAAGACTTCAGGATGAAGATAGTATTAATTTAACTTCAGAATTATCATTTAGTATTGTACCCTTTGTGGCTTCCATGACCCCCTTTGTCATAAAGACGAAGCACCCCACATGGCAAGGTCATGTCATCATGGAACTGCAACCAAAAATAGATGATTAAATAAAGAATAGCACACCAGTCAAGGAGTGGGATACAGAATAACTAACCACAAGCACTTGACTAAGGGGTAGCTTATAATAAGCAGCCACTGGTCCCGTCTGAAGTAAAATGAAGAGTCATGAATAACATAAATTGATAATAAGAACAAGGTTTCATATGTAACCTAAACATCAACCTGTTAGGATTATGAGAAAGGGATAGTTAATACAGGTAGGATATTACTGGTTAGGGAGTTAATAAGTTAAATAAATGCAAGGATTTATATATGTTCATTTGGAGATTGAACTTTGACACTTTATGAAAGGAGAAATCCTTTGTGAAGGGCAAACCTAGGAGGTGAGAGAGTTATGCTATTTCTTGTTATTTTCATCCTATTCAATAAAAAAATCTTTCTCTTTTCTTGTTGTAATTCCTACAACTTGCCGGATCTTCAAGGGACAGGCAGTGTTGGAGATGAAGTTCAAGTTTGGACAAGAGGATGGAGCTGCCAGCATCTATAGGGGCAGACCCAATTGGTTGATTGCTAGGGCTGAAAATTTCTGAGGTACAAGAAATTAAGTCATTCCATAAGCTGCAATATGCATTCATGGGCACGAAGGGTTTGGCCATGCAATGGTTTGAAATTCTTGGTGCCAAATGAACCCAAATTCAAATTGGGAATCCTTTTCTCAAGATTTGATCAAAAGATGCTTATGGTAACCATGTCTTTGAAAGATTGACTACCTTAAAGAAAGAAGAGAAATGAGATGGAAATCTGCATCAAAGAAATGCAGACTTCCAGTGTTCTTGAAAGAGAGGACCAACAATTATCTAAGTTCAAGCAAATGGTGCAGCAGTGGGTGAAGAAACAAGAAATCAAGCCAAAATTCAATGAAGAAGCGTAGGTGAAGTGTTTGTGGTGAAGGCAACCAACTTAGGTGAAGTGTAGCATCATTCTTGCAAGCAAAAACAACACAAGATAATGAAGAGTTAAGACACAATTCTTGTAGAGAAAAATGTGAAAGATGAATCAGAAAGGTTGAGGGAATAAAAGAGAACAAGATGTAGCTGAAACAGTAGATGAAAAAGCAAGACAACACTCAAGAGGTGATTGATCCCCATTCAACCAAGCATGTCAAGAAATTATGCAAGGGAGTGATCAAAATATTGCATAATACAGAGGTTCATTCTTGAACAAGAATGGTGTAGTCAGCCCAAACAGGGGGAGATTAAAATGAGGAACACCCTATCTGTTGTTACATTAAGAACTTGAAAAGGTACAATGCACTCAAGTCTTGAATGAGATCAAGATAGGGAGATCATCAGAATCCTTGAACCTAGAGAAGTAGGTTTTTTTCTTCGAGGAAGAGGTAATCAGCCCATCATCATACTTTGAACCAACAAACAAAATCAGCAAAGGTAGACATTGTTGCGCAGGACAATGGAGATGGGGAGTTGCTTGTTCAGGATTTCCCATCAAAGACCACCCAATGTCTCAAGTAGAAACCTCCCATGGGTTCAAATTGGATCTTTGTTTCAAACTCCAACAGTGGACCTCGTACAACACTCACCCAGCTCAAGTCAAGGTCAAACTGCACTCATCCTACTCAAGAGAATATTTGGCCTGCAAACAAGGGAAAACCAAGGAGTGGCTTCAATGTCATTTAGTTGATTTCGAAGGCCACTAAAAGTTTGGAGAAACAATTACATGAAATATATTGCTAGGACTATGGTAAAGGGAGAACTAGTTAATACCAATGTTGTCAAACTTGAGGAATGGGAGGGAATAAAAGATCGTAACACGACTTTGCAGAGTTAAGCATATTAAAAAACTATACTATAGACATGAACTTAAATTAAGAAAATATAGACAAGAAAAATAACTAAATAAATGTTAGGTTCCTAGGTTTGGAACCTAGCAACACACCCTCTCGATGCCGATAAAAGAGATGAAACCCAAACAATAACACCCACTGACAACAGATAATAGAGATGAAAGAATGGATTTTCTTATTCACAATAGTAGAATTGTCACTTTACAGAGAATGGGGTTGGGAGCATAACCTCCCTGGTTGAGAGCAAAACCTCTCTCTACAGGCTAAACCTGACTTTACAAAATAATACCCGATAATCCTCTCCAGAGTTACAAGAGCTCTATTTATATCAGCTCTGACCCGCTACCCTTACAACCGACACCCCCACACCCTTAACTCCTAAACCCACCTATTCTATCATCCTATATCCTAACAATAAATCATAAATATTTATATCCAATACATAACAGAACTAATTTTATAATTCATAAAAGAGTTCAAGATGTACTTGGAGATTGACTCATTGGAAGAAATTAGGAAGATAAGTTTTACATTGTTATCCTTCTCCATTCCATGAACCTAGATTTTGATCATGTATTTAGAAACCAATTTTGATAGGTCATGATGTTCCATCCATGGAAAGCCTCATAACTTGATTGCTTCGTGTTCCCATCAGCCAAAATCTTTATGATTTTGCTAAATGATTTGCCAAGGTTGCTATCCCATCAGCCAAAATCTTTATGATTTTGCTAAATGATTTGCCAAGGTTGCTATTGTAACAGCCAAAATCTTTATGATTTTGCTAAATGATTTGCCAAGGTTGCTATTGTAAGAGATTGGGTTATACTCACGAAAATTATTTCTTTTTACATGGTATTAAATATAGTAAAACTAGGTATAGGATTAATCTCTCTTGTATCTAAAACACACATAGGGTAATATATTTACAATGAAGAATGATACAAGTATATATGGCAACCAAACCTAGATATGGTAAATAAAAGATGTTAAAAACAATATCAACAATATCTACCAATATCAAACTGATAGATGTTAAGATGTATGTTTTTGTTGGGCTCAACCTATTATGTATTAAGGGCATTGGCCCATATCTTACAATATAAATAAACTATCCTATGTGTATGCAAAACACACAAGGGATATTTTCTCCCAATCTTCTCTATTTCTCACATGGTATCTAGAGCATAGGAATAGTTCCAGCCAACTCCACGGTCTCCGGCACCCATCACCGTCGTTGTCGCTGCCGTCATCACCGCCACCGTCACAGGAGTTCCAGAATCGACCGATGACCACACCATCAGAATCGTCTCGGCCGGGCGACCACCGTGGTACAAAGATCGTGGCGAACAGACCACCCACATGCCTCCACGCGCCGCCGCAACAGTCACCGCCGTTGCCGCTTCCCGCAGCGCGTGCCGACTAGAACCGCCGTGATAGCCTCCTCGCCCTCTTTCTAGATATGTGGTCGTTGTGTCAATCGGAGCACTTTGGATTTTTAGGGTTTCTCCCTCTCCATGGCGTCTTCCTAGTATACAAACACATCTGTTGGTGGCTCATCTTCTGATCCCTCAATATACACCAATTATGTGAATTGAAAGTAATTGAAATAAGCTAAAGGGACTCATAAGAAATTCATAAGTCAGTTTAAAATTAGCTCAGTATAAGCTCTTCTAAACACACAATATTCAAATGAGAAGAAACTAAGGAGCTAAACACCATCCACTCTGTCCAAGCTTAAACTGCCGACAAATATTGTTATTCCTTTAGCAGTCATTGTCAATTTCAAGATTTTCCTACCCCTGTTGTCGTAATATTAAACTTATATACTTTCAGTCTTTTAACTGTTTACAACTATTGATAGTACATATAACTTCACAAAAATGCCAACCAATAAGAGTAAATTTCAATGTGCAGATTAGAAAAGCTACCATTCAAAGTAGAGTATAAGCTTAAGCGATTAAAGGAACTCGTGGTCAATAAATTTTTGTGAGTGGCAAGGCAAGTGATAAGCTATATAGACAGCACAACTTGCACAGTCTAAAGTTAAATATCCACATGGTTAAGAGAGAAAAAAAAAATCAGCACATCCTGTTTCCTTACTGATTCACCACTCAGATTCATGTAAGTCTGAGGCTTTGCAAGGAAGACAGGAACTTCACCAACAAAACCTGCAACAAACCAACTTGCGCAAAAATTCATGAATACAATAAACATAGAGAGAAAAACAGAAAATAGAAATATCTAAGCAAGGCAGCCGGCAAACCTTTTCCGAAAATGGCTTTGGAATAGGAAGTGTTCATAGGAATCCCCTGCGACTCAGCAAATGCATCAATCATCTCAAAGCCCACCTAGACAAAAACGTATTTTGGAAATTCATCAAGAAAATGCTAAATCAGATGCTGATTATGCCCTCGTAACACTGCAGAACACTTCTAATGCAATTTAAAGACAGAAAACTAAAACTAGTAACCACCGAAACAAACTCCTAACAGAGCTGTAGAAGCAGAAGCAGAAAAAAGAAAAAAGATAAATGGAAAGGAAAAAAGGTACATTGTGGCGAGTTCCTGCGTACTTGTTACCAGGATTGCCCAACCCCACAAAAAGCCATGGGCGTGGCACAAGGGTGCATAAACAACGCTTGCTCAACCAATTAAGCATTTCCTCTGCAGAAAAATTCAAAAAAATAGAGTTTCACTTTCGTCTATCCGAAGCTGTTGTCAACATAGAAAATCAACGAAACGACAAAGTTGAATATGCATTAGCAAATTAATGAATTAACTCTCTTAGCTATCACCATTCTCTCTCCATCTTCACAATCACTAATCACTGCAGCAACTCACTGCTATGTGTGCCCATGATTCAAAGCCATGCAATCAAGCAATGGGTGTCGGGTTTTACCCGTAATTACTAATGGAATTGTTGAACTAGAACTCTAATCAAGTCTCTCAAACGGGTCAGTGGAACGACCATAAACCACACTGTAGCCTTTTAGAAAACCTATGGCTATCAAATGATCATAAACCACGCTTCTTGCCCAACATCAATTTCTACACTTTACACAAGGACATAAAATCTCATTTCCTTGAGGTCTTCCCCTAGTATATGAAAAATCCAAAAAAGGTTCGACACCATTGATGTACTCTGCATTAAACCTTGGAAGTTTAGTCCACTCTTTGTCCATGCCCCTTAATATAATAAATGATAGAATTGTGTTATATAATGTAAGTTATTCAATAATTTATTTCAAAACTAATATTCCAATTATGGCAAGATTTAGAATAAGTTTCTGAATCTTGTTTTCTAATCAGAATATAAGTTTAATTTCAGATATGAAATTAAACTACATGCCACGTGAACAACACAATGACAATAAGAACCAAATTTCCTTTCTTAATTTCATCCAGTGAAAAAATTCTGTTGATTATTTTCTAAATCTATGGAATTAGATTAATATAGACTACTCTTAGTATTTTTTATTATAACTATTGAATATAGTGAAGAAGATTAGGAGAAATCTCCCTTATGTGTTTAGCATACACATAGGGTAGTTTATTTATAATGTAAGATAAAGATTAAACCCTAAATACAGAATGAACTAAGCCAAATTAACATAAACACACAACTTAACATCTAACAATAACAATATTAAAGAAGAATCTATTTTCAAATTGGAGAGAAATAATATATCAGGCAATTATTGCTATCAAGAAATCAAATTTCAAAGACATTTTGAGGAACTTGATATTTGCTTTATTTTCTAAAAAACACGTAACAAGTATAAACTCAATCATGTTAACATCTTGTTGAAATTAGAGGAAATATCTATAGAATCTTCTCAATTAGAGAAAATATCTATAGAATCTTCCTAATTAGAGAAAACATGTGTAAGATCTTCTAGATTATTTTGTTTCCTTATTTCCCTTTCTGGAAGATTAGATTGATACAAATAGAAGCAAGGAGAATGTAATTACCATGAATGAAAATAATAAAATCATTCTCTTTTTCAAGTCATCTCACAAATAATGCTAAAAAGAAAAAATATATAAAATAAGAATTAATCAAAAACAGATGAAGAACAGTTATCACTAACCTGTTTGTCTGCTCTCTTAGTTCTAAGTTCCTCTACAACCTCTAGAACTCAATCTTAGAGATCTGTCTTGCTTTCGAGATTCGTAAATTCAAAGTGTCTTAGACAAAAATCACAATCCTCAACAACCAAGCCTTTTCCAATCAGTAAGTTCAGCTAAATGGATCAAATGACATTACATTGTATAGTCAAATGACATTACATTGTATAGTACCAAAGCAGACATAAAAAAACACAGTTTTTCAAAATTTTAGAGATGCTTCAAACCAGCTCTCGAACAATTACGAAATTCCACAAGTGCATACATGCAATTTGCAAGCAAGAACAAAATTCTGATTAAAGACATGAATTCAACCTAAGAAGCTATAACACTAGGAAGAAAAGTATCATTTAGTTTATACCAATAACAGACCCAAGTACCAAATTATCCCCACTTGCAATCTATACTTTTCTACAATCAAAGACACAAAAATGTCCATTTATTTAAAAGCAAACATGTCCAACCTGTAACAACCAAGTGAAGCCAAATGTTGTTTCAATATACCAGTGAAAAAGAAAAACTGAAAATGAAAATGAAAAAATCTTGGTTTTAAAAATGGAGAGACAAAGACAGTGATGGAGTTTAGTGCAAAAGAGAGAATGTAAAGAATCTAACAGGAGAGAAGTGATGAGAGTCTGTACGGATGAAAAGATTAATAAACAGGGGTTAAAAAATGCATCAATGTCTACCTTTGCTGATTTTGTTTGTTGGTTCAAAGTATGATGATGGGCTGATTACCTC